AAGAAATGTTTTACTATACTCTTAATCGCCAGCTTGAATTTAAGGATGAATAACTAAATTCCCCAGTTCCTAAGGAGAGATGATCTTGGATTAATCTAAGCTTTCCTCATGTAACCTGAGCTCCCCCAAGTGGACGAAATAAGTATTACATACCATCGTGGGAAATGCCGTTAAATGTATAAATATCCTGACCAATAATGTGACAATTGTTTCCTGTTACCAAATGCTTAACTTAGAATGGTTCAACCATTTGACCATTGAGGTGCGATTGTGGAAAATATTTGATTATAATACGTGGAAATAGATTTTCTTTTCTTTTAGACATTAAGTTTAGAAAGGCAGTCCCTCGGGAAACCGGAAACGCCCCCTGGGGAACCACGCCCCAGGCAACAAAAGAGCGACACGCGGCGTCGTTCGTTCTCTTTTCTGCTCTCGTCTCCCTCTCGGCTCTCTGCCCTCTGGACGCTTCGGCACGCGTGCCTCGCCAGGCAACGCCCTAAGAGTTTGGCCAGCCCTTTGTTTGCTTGAAGCTACACATGCGAAGTGCCGCGACATCGATCTGTCCCTCAGTTTGTTTTATTTTCTTTATTTCTTTTGTTTTGTTATAGTTATCAGTCCGTTAAGTTACACTGGACTCATTCAGGAACGACCAAGTTCCATTTTAAGCTTTTTCGTCGAGCCAACTTCACCGAGGTCAGACCAAGCCACGTGGTCTCGTCAGCGGCAACGAAGGAAACCTGAAAACAGCCGAATTGCCAGATGGAGGACGGCCAACCCTTGAGGTTTTTCTTCAGTCAGACATGGAGAACCCCGGAGAATCCCTAGCAAAAAGCCAGGATCGGGCAGCTAGCGTGGGACCCGTGCAACAGGCCAAAGCAGGCCGTCGACAAGCCGTAAGACCTAACACACATTCTGGGGTCAGAGATGTTCCGAAATGTTAATATTTTTCATTAGTTCTCCTATGCCGTATGAGTCAAATGCTTCCCAAAATCGAACCTCCAGGCTCATTGTGCTGCCATTGTTTATTTACCCTTTTATATCACATTAGTTGGAGAATAAATTCACTGTAATATAATCAAGAACTGTGTGTGTTGCCTATTTCTATGTCCCTGCCAAGAGAATTGACCCTTTAGATATGAGACTGACTGATTGATTTAAGATAATTGAGCGATTATTAACTAACTGATGACTAGTAATAATTGTATAATTTTGCTGTAGTATTTTGCTATGCAAGCAGTTGCGAGAAGTACAGTTGAGGGTGATGGGAACATCATTAGTTTTATAGGTACTGTCATAAACAAGTAGTGAACAAATGTTCTTGCAGGAACTTTAAAGATGAGCTGACTATAATTCAAAGTAATTTCCTTAGATAAATGGAAACTTTGCTGGTGGCACTATATGTTAAGTCAAGGGATCACCAAAGTTTTTCATCCTCTTAAGGAAACTTCAATATATGTACCAATGTCCATCCAACTGTCAGGAAAGAAGTCAACATGATGCTGGAGGAGAAGCCAGGGAATCCACAAAGTCAATAGTGCTTAATTCTCTGGGGACCATGGAAATGTCTGCGCCAAATCTAATGGAAATCCATTCAATATTTGACGAGAAATCTCACTCTGAACAAAAGTGGTGGATCGAGCCGTCATTTACCGTAGATTATAACTCCTTATTCCTTGTATGATTCTGTGTGACTGTAGCCATTTAGGGAAACTTTTCCAATCTGAAATTCCACAGGCAAACAGTTAAAACTATGAGGCCACAAATAAGACATTAAAATGTGAAGACTTCAAATTATATTCACTACAGTGTGTGAGCAATGGCTAAAAGTCACAGGCTCCAACCTCCAGCTGAGCACACAAGCCTAGAATTTTTGTTCCAAGTTGTGTTAAGATATTCACAAACAGTGGAGGAATCTCTTGCATGTAGTGAGAGCTTCTGCAGAACACATTAAACATATTCAAGAGAGAGCTTGGCATTTATAATTAAAATATGCTACTGCTCTGAAAAAACTAACAACGTGGCGAAAAGTGATATAGTTTTCTTTACCCCTGGCAAAACTCACTGGACAGGAATGTTAAAATGCTAACCGAAGAGCAAATATTGACAGGTTATAAAAGTGTAAAAGCCCCAACGTATGTCTATAGCTGTGTTTAAGACCTTATTTTCTATAGACACATAGGAACTCATGACAACATGTTCCAGGGAGAATAAAAACAACAACACTTCTTTAGCCAACAACTGTCATCTAAATACTGTGTTGTTGAATTTGTCTTTACTACCTGTCTCAAGCTGTTGGGAGTGTTGCCTTTGAGCAATGCTTTCATAGTTCACTCATAGCACAGAATGAGTAATGTCTTTCCATAGTTGCTTAGCATTAATGTATTTGCCATGTTTTTGTATACAGTGAAGCTGTGTCTCTAAAACTTCACTGTGCATCCACGGCCAAGAAAGTGGTCTTAACAGTACTTCAAACCATTGTCAGTGTAAATGGTTCCTCTCAAGACACGGCCACTTCAAACACTTTACAGCTGGCAAATGCACAAAAAGCAATTGAATAATGAAGAAGGTTTTGCTTAGCCAGAGATCCCGTTCAAACCTTTTACGGTTAGCTATTTCTTTCAACTCCTGATGTTCCATGTGGCCTTGTGTGTCATCCTAACCAAGTGAAGTTACCTTTGTAGTTTGAAATGAAAGCTTTTGCCAATTGGTGCCTACAGTGTCAGACTTGCAGATGTACACTTTAAGGTCAAGGTGATTTTCTCTTACAAAGTTGTACATAAGTGCTCATAATGCTGATTGACACTAAACTTTCAAATGGCCGTCTAGTGTTGTACTGCATGGAACCAATGTCCATATATAATTTTATTCTTTCAGTTTTTGTGTTGCTAATTTTCTCTTTTGTATTGTGTGTTGCATGTGGCTCCTCTTCATTTTGGAGTAACAAATAGCTGCTACAAAAGTGTTGATGGAGAAGTGGATAAGACACATGGCTTTGGTGTGAGAGACCTGGGTTCAACTCCCCACTGTGACACGTCCACCAATATATCCCTGGGCAAGATACTTAACCCCTAGTCTGGAGGCGTGCGACCGCCGGCATATAAAGCAACTGTAAGTCGCTTTGGATAAAAGCTAAATGTTATAATGATAACTAACCATAAGTCCTTTCCCATGGCTGTTTCTTCTATATCACACACAAAGTTAATTGTTCAACTCTTGTGGTGTAAATATAATTTAAATTTCTTTACTTTAAAATAAATCAATATTGCTATTGCTACCACACAACGGAAATTGGCCTCATCCGGGACGGTGACGAGTCGGCCTACAGAAGGGAGGTTGATCAGCTGGTTCTCTGGTGCGGTCAGAACAACCTGGAGCTTAACACGCTCAAAACTGTGGAGTGATCGTGGACTTCAGGAGGAG